GGGGGGGGGGGGGGGGGGGGGGGGGGGGGGGGGGGGGGGGGGCGTGAGGGAGACGTGATAGTTGTACCCCAACATAGCGGGCGTTTCACTACATTTACATGCGAGATGGGCTCTCAGGTATTGTCGAGTATGTTCAGATCTAACCTGCTTGCGTGCGTGAGGAACTCGCAGCGAACGGAAAAATTCACGCTCGGAGCGCCAGCAACAGCAGTAGCAGTTGGGGACTAGCCGTTGTTGATGTATGCATATAATAGCTGTTATTGCAACGCCGACTCAAAACAAGCACACGGAAGGATGTTCACCACACTGCCTCCACACCAGAATTCGCGAAGCCGAAACCTACCCAAACACACGAGCGTGCAGCGCGAGTCGCAAGAGCTAGACTTTCAGAGTTCTTTCTCCGTCCCACTCGCTTACACACCCCTCAAGCATTCTCATGCCCCCCTCCCCCCCCTTTTTTCTCCCGTATTAATCAAGAACGACCAACCGGCAGCGCACCTTGGGGGTAGACGAAACTGGGATGCCCTGCTCTGCGGCGTAGGCCAGGAGGTCCCCGCGGCCCTGCAGAATGACACGACAAACAGGTTCACAATCCAATGACACCGATAGAATGAAGTCAAGCACACAGGTTGCTGTACAGTAGGGTGCCCTCTATAGTGCCGGTATGTGTTCAGAGAGCAAAGCGGCACTATACCGGGCACCGGCACTATTCAGAGTACAGAAAGACTTGATATTCCGGTGTGTGCGAGCCGAAAACACCGGCACTATACCGGCAACCGGCACTATTTAACCGGCACTATATCGGGCCACCCACTGTAGCTAATTATCGACGAATAGACGAATATACGTGGGTGAAGGCACAAAAAGACACAATATCATCACCCCACAGGTAACCGACCGGCCAACAAAGAGAAATCGCACAGTTCAGGAGGAGTACGGGTTCGAGGGTACGTGGTTCATTTCGCCAGAGATGGCGAATGAAAACATCTTGTCGAGGTCAAGCGTGACACGGCAAAGTTGGTCCCAGTTCCTTCTTACACGACATACGAAACCACAAGCAGTCTTTTGCAGGGAGAGAACCGCTGATCTGGTGCCCTACGTGCAAAGAACAAGAAAGTGCCTACCCGATGCACAGCAGCACTGTCGCTTTTCAACAACGACGAAACGTATATGGGTCTCCATCGCCTCTATGGCCAGCCGGACACCAAACTGTCAGCAAAACAACAGCAGCAACAATTGCAACGAGGCGGGCACCTTAAATTTCTCGAGGAACTCGGCATCCCTCCATGGAGCGATGGTTGTGATCTTTGAGTCGAGCGCCTGCGCGCACATCTCGAAGCGAACCTGAAAGATCCGCCATGACCGCGGATGATGCGAATAAAGGTGAGAGAGTTGAGAGATATCAGAACGATCAGGCGACGTGATGAAAGAAGAAAGAGCCAGAATGCTTGAAATAGGCTCTGCGGGATTGTTGCGCAGACCATAGGCTTTTGTCACATTCCCCAAAAGATGCGCATCAACTGCGATACTTGTTACAACTGCAACAGTACGACGGTGCCCCACCATAACCATGTCCCCGACCATACGGCTACAACAACAACACGGCCTGGCAAGAGCCCCCTGCACAGCAAGGAGGTCCGATCAGGGGACTGCTGTCACCCTTACCGAAGTAATTGCGCTAGAATCTCTTTTTACTGCGTTGTTGTGCTGGTGGCGGTTCGTTTTTCGCGACTAGTCGCCGTAAGCAGGACACAAACACGCAACTGCTCACGTCTCCAAATCTCCAATGAACCTACAACCTAGGTCGACCAGCACGTCTCTTCCTCGCGACTGCTCTGTGTCTCCAATGAGCGTTAAACAGTGATGACCAGCACGCCTCTTCTCCGCGACTCTGCTGTATGTCTCCGATGAACCTTAAACAGTAACGACCGGCATATGTCTCTCCCGTCGCTCGCCTGGTCGTTACCCTTGCCGGTGGCCCCGTGAGATACGTACTTGGCCCCCTCCTTCTGCGCGATCTCCACCTGGCGCTTAGCGATCACCGGCCGCGCCAGGCTGTTTTGGTTGCAACGGAACGACGGCGACGACGTGAGCAAGCACATGAGAGAACAGGTCGGAAACCGCCGAAACTGGCAAAGAGTAATGATACCGACAAACAGGTCCACGAAACCGACACAGACACCGGGATCCGCGGCGGCTCACCTCGTCCCCAGGAGGTAGCGGCCCTCGTACTGGGCGTTGGCCTTGACGGCCTCGAAGACGAAGTCGGTCACGAACTCCTCGCAGAGGTCCTCGATGTACACCTTGGACGCCCCGCAATCCTTGGCCTTCTTGGTGATGGCGTCGTAGTCCTCTCCCTGCTGCCCGACATTGGCGCAGTAGCTGACGGACGGAAAGGTGAGCGGTGACCGGGGTTGGGGGACAGAAAAGTTAATGTGATGGTATCGAAATCGGTGGCGTTGACATGCATACCATTCCTGTATTTGGAGATGGTCGCAAGCAACAACGTGGAGAGGGCAATCAGGTATACTGCATTTTAGTTTCCCCGCCAGCAACCCTCGGCGCGCGCACGACCACGTCACGTGATGTTCACACCAGCAGCATGAATAACTTATGCGTTCAAAAACTTTAAAAATGGTTGTATTCATTGCCCCGTTCATGCCGACGAAGGTGGCGATACGACCCAAGAAGCGTATATTTCGTGATTTCAAGACACTTCCCGCAGAGAGCAGCCGGAAACCACCCGCCTTGGCGTGCTTTTGTCGGGGCGACAAACTGGTGTAGTGTATCGAACAAGTCGTTGTACGGTACAGCGTCCCAAAGGCCACCCAAACCAAGGCCATTCCGTTTTGGATGCGGACACCGATAAGGCTGCATCGACTCTGGTGCACACATCTAGTATGGATCATGGCTCCGCACCAGCGAGGGCGGCCCGGTAGATTCCAAGAGGAATCAGCAGAGAGAAGACTGAACTGCCGGTACGTACCGCTTTGATTGTATCTGCAGCAGTTCAAAACCTAACGAAAATTGTTGTCAGACGACAGCAGTAGTGTGGGGAAGACGACTCACCAGATGACCTCGAAGCCCTGGCCGGAGAGCCACTTGAGGATGACAGACGTGTCCAGTCCTCCCGAATAAGCAAGGACAACCTGTTGAGTATCGTGGAAAGGGCAATCCGCATGGTCACCACAGTAGGGCGCGCGACGCGTGTTGTGCAGATAGGCAAATGGCGGTGTTTAAAGGTGCTTGCGTATCACTGGGCCTGTTAGCCATCAACACTTGGGATGTTGCTCTTCGCAAGTGCTCGTCCTTTGCTCTCGAGTCATCTTGCGAGAGTGATCGCGTTACTGCCGCGATCATGGTTGTGGGCTTACAATAGTGTCCACGCTCTCCAGTCAGCGATGCACAGCGGCAAAACGGCGCGAGCACCACCCTGTAAGAGCGTCGGAACGTAAACTTTTCGCCTCCGGATCGCGCACCATCGGCGGCCACCAAAAATGAGCAACAGTCAAACCGGCGAGTATCTATTGGATTCAAAGGTTGGAAACAGAGCAGACCAAAGAGCACGATGCCTAAGCACTGTCTCATCGTGGGCCACTCAGAGCAATAGCTGGTCAAGAAGGCGCGGCCACGACCGTAGTGCATCGGTGCTGGGTGCAGTTGAAGACGAGGGAGAGGTGTGAGGACACATGCGGTGTGCGGTGGAAAAGTGAGGTGCGTGATTTGGCACTTCGGCTGACGACGACAGGAGAAGCGATGAGAACGGACATACGCCCACGCTCGCGAGAAACTCTCAGACACAAGGCGACGACGCCACCACAGCTGTTACGCCATCGTCGACTGGTCACAGGGGCTAGCAGCCGCGTGCCTGCCGCAGAACTCCGCAAAGCACGAGCTGCACTCTTGCTGCCAGAAAGAAGTGCAGGAGCAGCGGTTGCATGTTCAACCTTCGACGTATCCTGTGGTGTAATGCCATCCGACTCACCTTCTCCCCCACAAAGGTCTTCTTCGCCTTCTTCGCCGCGGGAGAGGACATAGTTTCCGACGTGTTTTGCTGTTAAAACCGCTGCTGCTGACTTCTGTGGTGCGCGGTAAAGCCAAGCACCAGGGGTCCCCGCGAACTGGATAATTCGCGCATGGGGGTGTGATCGGCGACGGGCAGGCAGCGCCACCTGCACAGACGCCCAGCTGAGGAGCATTTGCAAGCAGGAGGACGACGCAATAGCAACGGAGAAGGGTCTCCTCTCGCGGCCAGTGCTATACGAGACCCAAAGGAAGATGGTGAGGTTCTTGATAATCCGTGAAAACTCTTTCACGATTGTTTCGCCGAGAGGGCAGCAGCAGCGCCTACCGCGGTGTGTGTAGCGGACCCTCTTCCTCTTTTCGGGATTGGAACGTGTTTGCTGTCTGGCCAGGTTCTGTTCCCAAACACACTGCACGGTCCCGGCCGCTAGTGAAGGCGAGAGAGCCGCAACGGGCGCTTTCGGCCTCGTCGCTGTGAAATTCTCGAAACTGCCCCATGATGCGTGCAACAACCCTTGTGCGATCATCGTTCCAACTGAGCGTTCCAGGGTCCAACAAAAACTCACTTTCCGACCTTTCCAACACAGCAGTTGCATACAGCATGGCTCCTCGGTTGAGACCGAAAACGCCACACAAGCCCCCCGTGTCGTAGTGGTAGACATGCTCGCCGACAGCATGCTGACAGGTCGGGCATGCGTTTGTTGCTGCCCCCTCGATGGAGTCGGGGTAATTTTGTGTGTTTCACGATCAAGACGACGTCACTGAGCGCCAGAAGGCGACCCTAGTTCTTCAACGCATTAGGTTTTCACACGCGCTCGCTGTCTAGATAAATTCCCTCTCGCGCGCAAACCATATCCCGACATGCACACCAACAAACCGCCTTTTCATGCGCGGACAGTGTAGCGGCAAGTCAACCCGCACACCCACGCCGGTATGGAATATTGCATTAATATTGCTACGCGTACCTTTCCTATTGTGCGCCTTCACTTCTGCAGGCCCCCCTTCAAATTCTCAATACCCGTCACGAGCACGTGCATGGGTACTTCACTGCTGTTTACTTTTGTAGACGGCACACGACGATTACGCTCTCCTGTCGTCGTCTGCGCAAACCTCGTTTGTTAATTTGTTTGAGTTGAGGCTCCCGGCCGGGATACGAGGCTGCAGAAAGCATCACCAACCTACATACATTCGACATACGACCACGCCGACATTTCAGAATTTGTTTCCCCCGCCCCCCCCGGTGTTGGCCATCGGGGTTGGGTTTTCGTCGCTTCGCAACGACGTTGTAAGACATGCCAATTCACTTGGTGAACTCGGCAACCAGGTTACCGTTTTTTTTATTCCACTTCTGGTTTTTTGTTGGCGGTAACCATGATGGTGGTCGAGTAGATCATGTTGTGCGGGGTCGAGAACCCTCACTCCGCGCAAGGGGGATGATCGCACCACGTTGTGTTAAAATGGTCAAGCACCCTCGAGGCAGTTACACAGTTAGACCCTGGGGTTACCCCCCTGCAGAGCAACAAAAAACGGCATGCTGCGAATAGCTTTTTTTTTGTTAGAAGGGGGCACACAGACAGCAGTCCTACTTACTTGAGCAAAGACAAGGAACTGGCAATCAAAAATGCGCGAGGACGGTGAGAAGATGGCTCTTCTCAATCTACAATCACCTGTAATTATGCTATAGCTAGAGAAGTAGCGAAGCCGATTTCCGTTTGGTGGTTGAAAAATCCCGAAACCACGGAAATGTCGGCTGTTGACGCAGCTGGCGCGAATACCGAGACGAGGGTCAAAAATCGCCTTCGCTACTTCTCTAGCTCTGGTTTCTGCGCACACAGCTAAAAAAAACGATCCCCGATTGACCTAGAAGCCGACGAGCGGCAGTGATTACCAGATCACCTCCTATGGCTAAGGGCGGTGGTATAAACAAGGGTCGCGTCAAGTAAAAAAAAAAAAACTTCAAAAACTTCACGACTTCTCTTCTCGAGAGAGAAGGATGCACGTTTGCGGACGCAGCGACGGCTGGGCGCGCACGCAAGGCTGCCGAGAAGGCCGACTACAATACCCTGAAGCGTGCGGCCGCTGCTACCCTCGACAAACTCAAAAAAGCTCAGTTGGCGAAGCGTAGAGAGGCTCGAGTCCGCAAATCGGCGGAGCAGGCCGCAGAGGAGGAGCGACAATTGTTGGCGCGAGAGCGAGTCCTGCGCGCCGATCTGACGAAGGAGCTTGGAAGGAGCAGCGACGCAGAATCGAGGCGGAGCAACGGAGCGATCGCACGCGAGCAAGCCTCGGAGCATCAGAGGCAGCAGCAGAGGGCTGCTGATGGAGAGGCGGTGGCGAACGTCCTGACCCAGCTGGGAAACTTGCGGTTGGAGAAAAAAATGCTTCAAGATCAACAGCGCGAGATGGTTGAGATTTTTTGTCCACAAGCGGCAAGCGTGATGGCGGTGCAGCAACAGCAGCACAACGGGAATCCGCTGCTTTCCGCGAAAGACCAGCTCATCCGCACCCGGATGGAGGTAGAGCAAGCGAGGAGGGAGCTGGAGGCGGCGTCGGCGTGGGGAAAGGTTGCCGAGACGAGAAATGCTAATTTGAAGAAAAAGGTGCGTGCGTGCGTGTGTGTGTGTCTTTGCCCTCGTGTGTTTTTGGCTTTGCTGTTCCCTTCTAGTGCGACTGCTTCGTATGCCTCCGAGTCCTACAGGTTGATAGAACCAACATAAGCAGGACGATACCAAGCGAGGTAGGCGAAGCTGCATGCAGCTGCTATCATCGACAGACTTGGTGTTAAGAGCGAGAAAATACAGCAGGAGCAGCAGCAGCGCGCATTTTTTTGTTTT